ATCCCGCTAGAAGGTTTGATAGGTCTAGCATTGAGTCTCAAGTTATCGGGTAGGGCACTGTCATTTACGTGTGCTGGTTTGAGACGATCAATGCTGACGATCTCGACGCGGCCGTGTCGATCAACCTTGAAGGTCTTTTCGTGACGAGAGATCACGTGAAAAGGGCCTTCGTAAGGCTGTTGTAGAGGTTTGCGTACCGAATCTACTCGTATGAAAACATGTGAACAGGTAGATAACTCTCGAGGGAGAGCGACCTGTCGATGTTGTATTCGAGTTGACACCGGAGACAGCGTTCGCATAAATGCAGACAGTCGATGGACGTAGTCTGATTTACGGAAATCGTTACTGCTCCGTGGTGTGAAGAATTCCCCAGGCAGACGCAATGTCGTACCGTATACAAGTTCAGCGGCGGAACATTGGATATCTGCCTTCAAACTCGTTCTGATGCCTAAGAGAACGAGCGGTAAGGTTTCGTACCAATCGTCGTTTTCGTGTGCTCGGAGAGCACTTTTAAGTAGGCGGTGAAACCTTTCGACTAAACCATTCGATGCTGGATGGTAGGCGGTGGTGCGTATGCGTTCCGTACCAAGCAGCCGGGTCAGTGAGGAGAATAATGCGGACTCAAATTGTTGTCCTCGGTCAGTCGTGACAGTGGAGGGACAACCGTACAATGCTATCCATCGTTCTACGAAGCGGTGAGCAACTGTCTCCGCCGTGATAGACGTGATGGGAATAGCTTCGGGCCATCTTGTAAAACGGTCAATGCACGTGACTATGTGATCATACCCATGCGATGGTGGCAATGGTCCTACAATGTCTATATGAACGTGATCAAAGCGAGCATCAGGCGTAGCGAACGTGCCAATGGGGTCAGCTAGGTGCCTGTGCACTTTTGATCGTTGACACTGTAAGCATTGCTTTACCCACATACGAACATCTTTATTCATGGACGGCCAGACGTATCGTGCAGCGATGAGACGTAATGTGGCTGCGATACCTGGATGAGACAATCCATGAAGGGCATCGAAGACGAGACGGCGATAGGTAGAGGGTACGATGGGTCGAGGTAGACCGGTAGAAATATCACATAGGATAGTACCTGAGCTAGTAGCTAGGGGTACTTCCTGACACTGAAGGGACGAAGATTGTGGTGCTTCTGTACAGACAGGATCGTTTGCTTGCGCGGCGGCCATAGCAGGAAGATCGAGCACCGTTAACATAGTTAGACTCGCCTTTAATGTGACGAAGGTCTGTCGTGAACTGTGAGATATAGTCCAAATGTCTGCACTCTCGTGGTGAGTAGCGGTCAGACTTGGTATGCAGGGCATACGTTAAGGGCTTATGGTCGGTGAATAAGATGAATTGACGTCCTTCTACTGCGTGCCGGAAATGTTTGATGGCGCAGTAGGCTGCAAGCAGCTCGCGACCAAAAGCGCTATATCTCGTCTCCGTGGGAGTAAGGCGTCGTGAGAAAAATTCAAGGGGTTGCCAACTACCGGAGATATTCTGTTGCATAACGGCTCCTATAGCAAAATCCGATGCATCAACCGCTATACTAAGCGTGGCTGATGGGTCAGGATGAGCGAGGAGTGTAACTTCAGCGAGAGCCGTTTTGATCTCTGAGAATGCAGTACGTGCGGTATCGTTCAATTCTAATTTGCGTGGATTACCGCGTAGTAAATCGGTTAATGGTCGTAACCGTTCTGCCGCGTGAGGGATGAAACGTCGGTAGAAGTTAACCAAACCGAGAAAAGCCTTCAGTTCCTTGATTGAGGACGGCACGTTGTACTCCTTGATTGCTCGAACTTTGTCCTCGCAAGGCAGAATACCCTCTTGTTTGATGATGTGACCCAGAAATATTATTTCTGATTTACCCAATTCACATTTTTCTGGGTTGACTACTATTCCATTATCCGAAAGACGTTGGAATGCTAGCGTAAGGTGTTGATAATGTTCATCTACGTTTGATGATGCGATCAGCAGGTCATCAATATAGACGTGAACAAAATCCAAGTCTCGTACTATGCTATCGATAAACCTTTGGAAAGTTTGAGCAGCATTCCGTAATCCAAATGGCATTCGTAGGAACTCAAACAGACCGAAAGGAGTCGTGATAGCAGTTTTCTCGATGTCTTCAAGAGCGACTGGGATCTGGTGATATGCTCGTACCAGATCGATTTTAGAAAAGATAGTCGTGCTCTTGAGCGATGCCGTGATGTCGTGTATGTGGGGGATGGGGTAGCTATCAAAGCGCGTAACTACGTTTAATGCTCGGTAGTCGCCGCATGGTCTCCAACTAACCCCATCCTTTTTGCGCACCATGTGTAAAGGAGAGGCCCAAGGACTGTGAGAAGGACGAATAATACCAGAAGATAGTAAATTGTCAAACTCACGTTTAGCGAAAGCTAATTTGTCCGTGGCCAGTCGGCGTGGTCTTGCCGTGACTGGTGGTCCGCGGGTGACTATGTGGTGTACCACACGATTGGTCACCGATGAAATCTCCTCGAATGGTTTAGTTAATCTGGGGAATTTCTCGAATAAGGCGTGGAATTTATCGTCACGCGAATAAAAAGTGCCGAGGATTCGGTACGCGTACATCGGAGTCTATTATATTAATACTATTCTTATCGTTATCCGTCATGTCAAATATATTATATATTAAAAACTAATATGAAAATATATGACAGACGTGGATAGATAAAACAATAGACTCACCGAATTGCCTTCTTTGAAAGATTTGACCGAGGTTGAGGCGTGTTCCAAAATTTGGATCACCAAATGTAGCGTGGTGTCGCGTTGAGCTGAACTATGAACACCGCTACCAGACTACTTGCCAATAGACCAATAAAATTCCGGTAGGCCAAAATATCAGAAGGCAGATGATTGTAGTAGTCGTATATATTTGTTGGCAATCTCGTGGTATCGAAAGAATACCGAGATCGTGCCAAAGGAGTACAGTTGCGATCGGCAAGATAAGATACGTGCGTAGTCCAAAAACCGCGTAAAAGCAATGGAATACAATGGAAGCCCAAAATGGCTGTTATTAGCACAGTTAAACAAACGAGCACAGTAAAACAGTCACTGGTACAATTGGTTATAATAATAATTGTTTTCATCGAACCAATCGTGTTCTGTTGACAAAAGTAGGTCACTACAATCTAACCCAAACAACACGATCAATTGGTGTCCTTTCGTCTCGTGTTACATTAGGAATAGGCGTTGCGATTTCAGATAACAGTCACTTAAGTGAGTAAAGAACATAAGTAACCTTGTTAACAAACACATGCACTCACCCAGATGCTAGGCCAATTTTTACTGTGACCTCGTCAAGGGCAAATTTGACCTTGTAAATACTCGTATGGTAAGATGAGTTGTGCTGTGCTATTCACAGAATTTTTGGTTATCTGAAAAGTAGCTTTCCTGGTTTAGCGTGTACATAAAGCTGTCTTATTTCTTATCGTATACTGGTTTGCGATGTGTCAGTTATCTAGTTTGCTCTATGCGTATGTAACAGTATTGCGAAGTAAATACCTGGTATTTACCATATGCATATGTTATTTACTCATCAATCATCCTGATCAGTTGGAAGTAGTTGCTGAATGTAGTCCTGAGCACATTTACGACCATAGCCATTAAAGTTATCGTAGCGGTATACATGTGGAAATCACTTTACATTTAGCAAGCACCAAAGCAGATCGTATCAACTTGGGTTCACTTAATCGTTTTTAGCGAATGTAGTTTGGGAAAACCGACAAATTTTTACCACTACGATGCAACCTTATATGCTTATTTGCATAAAAATACTAAGCAGTTTAAGATATCTTTCAAGCGTTGTCTGCGCAAAATAATATTTTCTGGCCCTTTAGCGTATGTGGAATAGTGGGAATCCATGATTACCTAATGCCACTTAAATAATAACCTTCTTTCCCTCAGTCGCGTCTGTATTAAATGGCGTTTACTGGTCTCCATGCTTCGTTCAAAAGAAAAGAATTGTGATACTGCTTTTCAAAACGTATTAGAAGAGGAAAAAATGTCTCACATTAACTCGGCAACCAAATATTGTGAAACTATTCATTCAAATTAAAACGAAAGTTCTAAAGTATTAGAACTCTTATGTTAATGTCTGTTGGCCTGTAGTGATTGTATAATTCATATGATGTGACTCAACTGAAATCAGTGATTACGGTTATGTAGCTTAGTGTACCCGTAGCGTGAATCATGTATACTTTGTTTGTGATTTCATGTCGATATTCCTGTATTTTTATCGTGCAGAGCATTCACCTTCTATCTTTATCAGCAATCTTCTCGTCTTGCGTTGGATCTCAGTGCTTCATATTAGCCAAGTTGTTCGTTTCTTAAGTAATCAAGATATGAACCAACATTTTTTTCGTACAAGAACTTGTATTGCGTGTACCACCAAAATATATCCTACTTGGCCAACAGGTATGTAGTGCAGTACTAGTAAATCATAGAGCTTAGGTATATATTGACAGCGCATTACACTATGTATGCCTAGACTAGTCGATATCAAGCTCTTTCAATCTTTTACTCTTGTTCTTAATGTGACCACTATTGAACCGAATAAAGCAATCGAATTAACTTTCCAGTAGTCAACAGAAAGTAGGTGAAGTGCTTTTCTCCAAATCATGCAGTAAATAACTCTATGTCTTACATTTTCAAGCGATGAGGATGCATCATTTGGTGTAACTAGTAGCCAACCTTTTTAAAAGGCTACAGTTTGGCGAAGTCCTTGCTAATCCTAAGCATTTCACACCTGCCTAATGGTGTTGGTGTTTATGGTAATCTTTATGTTTTAAGACTGATGTTCAATAATCTTTAGCGTTATTTTTACTGACTTGTGTTTATTTCATTGATGCCTTTTCATATAAAACTTAGTATAGATTTTTATATTTGGTCAAATAAAATGTTGACTCGGATTTCAGAAAAATCCCAAATATCTGGTTGTATAGATTCTGTAAAGTTTGACTGACTTCGAATAAATGAAGAAAAATCCTGCTAAAAAACAACACCGGACATATGTGAAAAAACCAGCTCGAAGGATTACTATATCCGTAAGTTATAATCGCTTTTTTTACTCGTTAGCGTTCTAAATCCCTCAAAAATGATTTAGAACGTTATGAAAAAGTAGGTGGGGTTTTCGATAAACGTCTGGGTAATCGTAATGTCACCTTGACTGAGTCCGAAAAGTCTTTGCAAAGACACATAGTCGAAAAATTGGTACTTACTTTAGATATGGTAATATAAATTATAGAGACAACTTGATAGTGTCTCATTGGAAAGTGTTGATGATAAAGACCCTTTATTCAAAGCGGCATTTGACTCAAGTTTTCCTACCCGAAAACTATGCACGGCTAATGATGTGGAAGGCGGGATTGAAGGTGAAATAAAGAATAAACCACTAACTTTGTAGGTCATATTGTGGAAAACATCTTCTTCACTAATGGTTCTACCGGTAATAAACTGGGACATAGTTTCAAGGACTCTCTGGCGGAAAAAATTGCAGCTACGAAATTGGAAAAGCTAAGACGTGTCGAAGAAAATGAAGAACAGCGTGAGCGATTAAAGGTCGTTAATGACGAATGGACAAAAAACATTCGTTTCCTCTTAAACAGAGTCCATGGCATGAAGAAAGTGAGTTGTGTGATTAATAAACGCCATTTTCAGCGTCCAACTGCAGGAACTCAGCAGAACAATAATACGAATGTTTCCCGTTTACTGGAAACATTGGGTACTGATAAAAAAGTGGTGCCTATCGGCTCCTTAAATGCCCACAACCCACAAGAACAGCTCTTTAGGCTTCAGGATATGGTGAGCTCCCGCAGGACTTCGTAAGTTCTTACTTTATTTTCGTAACAATAAATCGCAACATTCTACCTCTCGATTATTATTTTGTACTAACTTGCAAGAACACTACCAGATAAAATATTATAAAACACTATACAACTATGTGTTAACCCGATATTTTGACACTTCACATTAACACAGGACAAGGAACTCGACACAACGAATGACGAAAGTTATTAACAATAACATAAGCTGTAGTGTATCGTCAAAATGTGATTTTTAACTCGTTTGTAATTGATGTCGTATCTAACCCGTACCATGGAGTGAATCTCATCGATCACATTGTAGCGGTCACTAGTCTAGGTGATTAGACATCACAGAACAGCATGTTTGATCCCAAATTATTGAGGGTATGGATTCTTGAACGCAAATTTTGTTCTAGTTGATAAGCTTTGTAAAGTATTGTAACCAGTGGTGTTAGAAATAAGTAACTTCGATGGAAATCAATTTCAATGGTTTAGTTTTGCTATTTTTGAAGAGAATACGAGTTCACTTAATCTGAGTACGGAACGAAGACTCTGTGACACAACGACGCGTCCCAGCCCAGCTGACTAGAGAGAGAAGTTCAAGTTCGAAAGAGGTAAATATATTTCACAAGCAGCCGAAAGCACAAACAACCACAAGTCTATTCGGAAATGCACTAATTTATATATTGATTCATACATCTATTTTTTGATTAATAATTGGAATAAAATCACATATATGAAAAATAATTTGTTATAATAAATCATATGCTAAGTATAGTTTATGTTAACTTAATACAATAATATAGTATGTTATACGAGAAAACAAAACGAAATACTACACTGAGTAATCATCACATTGAAGCGAAACGGAATTAGTGTTGAACAATAAGTCATAATGAGTAAATCAATCTAATTTTGAACTTATACAACGATTCCTTATCTTTCTCATAGTCCTAAACATTTTGCTTTCACATATATCCCTTTATAATTTCATTTTTTTGAGGTTTGGACGCAGATAACAGAGAGTATTGAGGCTACATTTTGTTTTTCTTACCACTAATCAGTAATCACGAGGGAACTGTAGTCGAATCTCACACCTAACACGTAATGTGTAAGGGTTGACGATAATGATTTGTATAAAGTGGGTCATTCCAACTGGTCTTCACCAAAGTAATTTGGTTTGCGAATATTCTTTACAGTTACTTCCGTCAAGTTTGACCTTTTCACACCGTTTGAGATCAAACGGCAGTGATTTCGTTGGTTGATGCTGTTTCGTGGTCAGACTAACATACTATCGCCGTTTTCCCTTTATAAATAAGGCTCCATGATCACACAATCATTCTTTAGTCGTTTGTACCACCATAGTTTCTGAGTAATTAACTATCTCTCAGACATTCTTTATTCAGATTGTGGTCATCTATCAGAATACAAACGAAAAATTGCTCATTTAGATCAATGATGAAACCAAATAGTTTAATGAAAACTAGCAAAACCACCTGGGTCAAAACAGTATATGGAGTCATTTTTTTGAGTATATGATAAAATCTGTAATTTCAAAAGAACCTTAACAGTTGTTCAAATAGTACATATAAAATGAAAAACATTGTGTTGTATGACACTTCCAATTATACTCATTCTATGTACTCGTTTTCTATTGTCCCTTTCTTAGATATGACCAACAATAATTATCGAAATCCATCAGACCTGTTGTTCTCCACAAAATAGGCTAGGCGATAGCATCTGCCATATACGGCTAAAAAGTTATCCGAAAGCTGTTCAGGCACGTTTGAGCAAACTCATTTTGCTGTTTTGAACTTTAATGTCTTATCGAATACCTACAAACCTAATTATTCGTAATCCTAAGAGATAAGGCTATTACCGAATGAATTTGGTTTGATATGAATTTATTTGTTACCTAGAATTTCAAATCCATTTCTGTAATCAGTAACATACTTAACATAATGCGGAAGCATTTCATATAAAGTTATTTCAGTTGCCTCATATGTCCACAATTATTTGCGTTCATGATGTATGAATTATAGTCTCGCCGAATTTATTTTTATTTCTACTATATTTTGCAAGTAGCTTTAATCGTTATTAACAATGTTGGACAGTATTGTGATAAAAATTATATCTGACTGTAGTTTGTCCACCTAATGGTAAGTCATTCATAACTTGCCTATTTGTACTTACAAAAGGTTTACTGGGAATTGGTCGGAGGAAACCTAAAATCAAACGATAACTTTATAATTTTAATAATTATTTGTTTATGCTCATTTACTTCTCTTTATTTTTGTAAATTGGTGCTTATAGGATTGAAGCGAGCGACCACGTCATTGAGTCGGAAACATTGGTAAGTGTATTGGATAAAAACTATGTGCATTTCAAGTTTAACATTTGAAGCTATCAATGTCAAATTTACTCTTGATTCATTATTTCTTATATATCTGACTTCTATGATGAGGTTAATCGATTGCCTCTGCCAAATATTTCTGGTTGCATTATTTTAGGTTTCCCATCTTCGTATCTTACTCAGACTACCGAAAGAAAAGTCCTCTGCTATTGCCTTCATTTCTAACCAGCTTTGGACAGCTAGATTGCATCGTTTAAAAGATGTTGTTCGCTATCTTTTTTTAATACAATTGGCATTTGAATATTGCTCTGAGATATTTGAATGTTTAGAAAATGATGGAAAATTGCCTATAAATATTATTGAATGTGGTATTTTTTGTCCGGAAATTGTACATGCACTATCCCAGTTGTTTTGCCTTACTTCACTTGGTTCAAATCTACCGAAACACATTTTAGTTTTAAGAAAACCATTGACTACTATTAAAGTGTAAGTATGTACTATATTAGTGATGTATAATTATTTTCCATTCAAACCGTTATTAAAACAAGTTAATCCATGTAAAATCTATTTTGAGTATTGTGTAGCTTTTGGGGATCCCAAGTGAACTATTTGCAAACAAATTTCCATGTAATGCGTATCAATGTTTAATCTACATATTTATTCACCTTTCCTCGTAAAAAGGTTCAGGAATTGAATTTATCAAAACTGTAGTATAGATACTTCATAATGGGCTGTTAATTCGAAACAGTCCTTTTTTATGCATAATCAATTACCTTGTTTAGAAGAAAAAGATCAAACCACCGAATAAAACATTTTAAAAAATTGCTCATTCACATCCCTATTTATTAGCATAATTCATAAAATTGTCATCCGAAAATGTAATGTCATATATCCCTAATATATATCTGCTATTTGCATAAAATCAAAGGGCTTTTTTCTTCCTGAACAACTACGAATATGTCAGTAGACACCATATTTTAGTTATGCCTATGGCGTACATAAGATCTTATACACAATTGACATTTTCAACCATGGTCTCATCTGTTCCAGTACGGCTATATAGTAATTTTCTGAGGAGTCAATTAATGAAAATTTTATAAGTCCCGCTTTACAAGTTTGAGTAGAATCTTAGTACATGCACAGAAACAACTGTTTTTATGTCAACATTGACTGTTTTTAAGCACAAGTCAAATGTAGGAAATGTTAGAAGATTGCATTGTGGGTAATTATTGATGCATGTATCGCATGTTATTGTGTTCGTACTGTTATCAACTTGTTTTCTTTAAGATCGTTCATTTTAAATAAAAATGTCAGACCTTTGAAATAGTTTGTCTTCATAATTAAGATACATCTTTTACCGTTTTAGATCCGATTTGCCGAGTCTCGACATTCGCCTTGTAAATAGATCTTCCCCTTTGTCTCACAATGAAATCCCTGTACTTCGTTTAACTTGCGTTTACAGGATGATTCGTCTAGCTAACCAAGTTTTCCTACTATATAACAAATTCTTACCGAAATGCGTTCTTGTGAACTTGTTTCATCCTTTGAAAACGTCTCTGGTAGAAAGTAACTTCATTTATCATCCCGCTTTTATAGTAAACGAAATCAAAAGTCTTTTCGAATCAATCAAGTCAGCAGAAAATGCTCCTACACCTACTCGATTAATATCAGATCATCGTCTTTTGGTTTTGAATACTTTGAAACCAACAGATTCCAAAGAATTTAAAAAGTTAGGCATTCTGCCTCAACTAGAGCCTGTTTTCGATGAACGGTAAATTTTATTTTTTAGTGAAAGAGAATTCTAATTTTGGTTTTGTAGTTTTCCTGATTATATGTTTACTTACAGGGGTTTTTGTGTATTATACAAGTTACTTGGTGTTACGAACATAGGACAATAATACAATACTACATCATGCTTTTTCAGGTGCTTTGTTACCTTTTCTTAATATTTCAAAGTATTGTATTCAATATATTCAATCACAAAGGTCGCTTGCCAAAGCCTACCCATATTCTAAATGTTTAAATCAGTCTATTAGAAAACAGGTAACAAGTCATTCATTAGCCTGATTCCAGACATATATATCGTTATTAGTCATCAAGAGTTATTCTAAGCTAGTTTCGCTGAAAGACTGAATTTCCAAATGCATTAACTTGTAAGTATGAAGAAAATTTTTCAGGATCAGACATACGAAGTACGAATGATGTTCTGTTTAAACTCTGGAACATTCAGTTCTAGAATTTACTTTATATATGATTTTAAAGCTACTAATTTTTTTAATAAACGGTCACACACTAGTTTTTGTGTTGTGTTCACTGGTACATTGGTATTAGGAATTTTTGGTAATCCAGAAGTATCGGTTCAGGGCATAACTGTTATCAGTGACTATATTTCTCTCTCTCTCTCTCTTTACAATAAATTTGTGCAATTCATTTATGGCAGTTGTTTAACCGCATGATACAAACTCACTGAAGTTTTAGATGGGTTTGAGCAAAATTCCCTCTAAATCCAAAGTGCAATAAAAAAGATTTCATGTTTAATTCATTCGCAAGTGTAGAACTGATCAATATAGACAGTATTTACTGAGCACTTGTCGATTTACTCTTTTCCTAACCTCCGATTTTAGGTGCTGCAAGTTTAACTGATACACATTCCTTTCATGTCTTACGTTGATGATGACTGACTGCGGTGTATTAGGAGTAATATGAAATTCATTTCACAGTTCACATTGGTCAGTCATCAATAACAAACGCGTAGACCACTTTGTAATTCTATAGTAACACGTTCTATAATTCCAATAAACTGTAAATATGAATCTATAAAGTTTGTGAGTATCTCGCTTTAGAAGCACTCAATGTTTTATTTCTAATCGTGATCAAATAACCTAGAACGAATGTATATGAAATTTAAAAATAAGAAAATTTTATGCAATTTAATTAATGGTCAGTTTTTTATTCTTCACGGGGCAAATAAGTTATCTAACAAATTCGAACTTCCACAAACAATCGAAATCACACACTTGCCAATACCAAGGACATATTCTATTATAGACGACTAAATTGCTATGATTTCGAATGATTACAAAGTTCAGGTAGCTATGTTAAAATTGTAGCTTAACCAATCGTTTCTCGAGAATTCATCCAATTTGTCTGTTTTATAACTGGATTCTAAAAAGAATTGATGTGTAGATGTTTAACAGCGCATATTTTTTGTCAAAGTTGAACAAAAGAATGATTTAGAGGAATGACCATAATTTGAACTTGGTGAATAGTTAAATAAAAAAATTAAAACACTTTCTAAGCATTTATCAAATGAATAATGTCGAAGAATGGATACATAAATATCAAATCAATCGTTCATGATTTTCAAAGCACTCAAAAATGTACTTTTCGATTGTTTCAGACATAACATTTACCATACGCAAGAAACCAAAGCGCTATAGATATAGGTAATTTAAAATCTATTAAAAATACTCATATGTCGAAATTATGACATTTTACATAAGAACAGCGACAAAAAATTCATAAAGAAAATATGAAGGAGTAAGAATAATAACATAAAAATAACGAAACACTAAAGCCGAGAAGTAGTTTGCTTTAAGCTAGTAATGATATTGATCTTTAATTGTAGCTTCTAGTGGGTATTAATAGGTCAGTTAAAATATGAATTATGTAGATAACCTTGTTAGTTCTTGTATTACGTCTCACCAGCTCTTATTATCATGACATTTTCAAAGTATTTTATCAATCAAAGCATGGAAAGCTGCATATTTTTTTCTCTTTATTTCTTGTTCTGAAATATTTATTTCCAGATTATGCGTAAATCAACGTGATAATACTAAACGGACTCTACAACGAAAAATTGCAAAGGAAAAACGTTGTGCAATGCGAGCTATTCGTCAAGATTGTCAATTTTTAGCTTCACATCAATTGAATATTATTAAAAAGAGGTAATTCTTATTTTCTTCATTATGAAATTGTCTATCCCATCGAGTGTCATCTTTCAAAGGGTGCATAATTTCATCAATTTGTTTTCGTGTTATCAATTTATATTACTTTTACTAGGTTGAATATTCTTTAACCTCTCATCATCGCTCTAAACTAATACTAAGGTTTCACAATTGGGAAAACCAATCAATATCTGCCAAAGGATTTTGAGTAATTGACCCTGTTATCTTAATGCTAGTCAGGTTTAGCCTTTTTTCACATAAAAATATTGTATCAAATTTTTCTCAGCCTACTGAACTGAAATTGACCTATTATTATTACATCACGTTGTTTTGATAGGCTTCATCTCATTAAACTATCCAAATCTGTCTAGAGAACTAACTGTCTTAAATTATGATTTGCTTAACGAATGGTAGTTGAAAACCATTCCGTAGAAATGTGTGGGTTTTCATAAATGATATCGTTCAAGAATTCGTCCAGTTCTCAAGTTCAGTAGTTTTTAATAAGTTCAAACAGGTTGTAATCATATTACCACTTGTATTGCACCTACTAAACATTTATGAGAGGTAAACAGAGCTTTTCATTTTTTGTAAACTAAGCATATATTCACTGTGAAGTCAATATCTTATTCGATGAAGTTAACTCCTTTTTATAATAACCCTGCCAATATATTTTCAGGGTTTCAACTGAACGTTGGCTTAGCGATCTAATTGTCCAAAATATAAGGTTGATCTTTATTAGTTTAAAAAATTAATGCACGAGGTTTTCTTTTGCACAGAAGTCTCTGAGAGGCCGTAAAAGTTACAACCACATGTATGTATGTATCCTATCTTAGGTTGATTATGAAGTCAACAGTTTGAAAACAGTGTCATGTTTTCTACAGTATTATTGTCTTGCAGTCTCAAATTACGTTTTAAAAATTGTCCTACGAATGACACTTATTTTACAGGATTCTTATGTTTTCATAAGATTTTGAAATTTTTAACCCAGCTTTCAAGATATAACACCTAACTTTCTGTTGTTTCTTTTCTTCGTTTCCTTACATTCCATTTTTATACTTATCGGTTTACTATATGTTGTGTTGTATCATTTGTTGTCTCCATCTCATGCTCTATTATGATGATATTGTGCTTCAAGTATACGCAGGAATTATATATATGTAATTATTTACTGTTTTTTTGTAGTGACTATATTCGGGAAAAGAAAACAAAGGCCATTTTAAATTCGATGCGTTCAGTTGAAGATTGATACTGACATCTTATTGTACCTGCAAATAATACTGATATTAATATAATACAACGACTAACTTTCCATTTTTTGATATCTTTTAACGTGAGCTACTGATGTATTTGAAACAGGAATATATGTTCATTGAAAATAAAGTATAAAGCGAATAACGTAATATAAATACACAATAGACTTTGAAACTTCTAAGCGCTGTTTTGACATACGATTCAATTCTCTTTAGGAAGAGACGTCGTCGAAATGTTGCACTTTCATCTTTTCTTCACAAATATGTGAAGGGAAATCGGATATGCACATAAATTTGTTAATTTTCTGTCCTCATAGCCTAGGTAAGTTGACTTTCATGTCTCCGTTTGATCTTATAACGAATAAGTGTAGGGACGAATTTCTGTTAAAAGAAAGTAAACTACAAAACTGTTAACACTAAAGCTTGTCGACTGACCGAAAATGAGCATCTAACTATCCCTTGTAGCACATGTTTCAAAGTAGGTTTTTATATTCCAGTCATGTAGTATAAATTCAGGTGCAATATATTTTTATTCCATTTTGGGCCAGTTTGAACTGAGCCTCGGATTGTATTAATAATTTCGTGTATCGTCCAAGTTATGTTATAGCTTGAATTACTTAAATCGGGCTGCGTATTGCAAAGTTGTCAAACTGACGCTAGATACATCCCTCAATGAAAGTCTAGTTTAGAAATAAGAACATTTTTGGTGGTATATAGCTATATGTTAGTCTTAAAAACATGAAAGGTTGATGTCTAAGTTGCTTGCGGTGAGAAACGTGAGCCTCGTAAAATCAATGAAACTTAAAAATGAGATTAATCTATGGATTTCATAGTTGTCAGTTATTTTCTGTTTGCTTATCACTTTCGGTTTCTGCTATCGATAAGGCATAAACATTACTCGTTTAGGTGATGTAGAGAAGTAGTGTTAATAAAGGTTTTCTCGGAAATCGTTCCATCCCTAAACATTCACCGTAATCTGGGTGTATTTCCTTTAAAGTATCTACATGTATTTAAAATGCGGTGTCAACTGTGCATTAAATATACGAATGAATATGCCTTGTTACCGATGTGTTATTGTAATAGTGGTGAAGGAGGAGTACATTTTTCGTGCCTAAGATTAAAGCTTCAGCACATAATGTGACTACATAACTGAATTATCGTCACTACTCTTAAACACTTCGCATCTTCAATGTGGTGAAAATAAACTCCCTAGTCGTAATTTTAAGAGGTAATCAACATAATCTGCACTCTATGTTGGTAAGTCAAAAGATCCACCTGGGTGTTTTTCATCTCTGTCTACGTACTTGAGTGTTCAAATAACGCATCACGATTGTCATGTTTGACCATCTCGTCCAAAACTTTTTTGACTTCATCGGGGCTGCATATACATTTGTTGAAATCAAGTCGGTTTGTTTACACATGAAATAAATGGATTCATATTTACCTTTAGGAATTCACTGTACCGGTGATTTTCTACATGAAATTGTCTTTAATTTACATTAGTGAATATTCTCATTATTAACGCTTTTATTATGTCATCCAGTTTTTACAGAAAATAAAGAAACTAAAACATTAACAAAAGCTGAATGTTTGGTTTTTACTACCAGCATAAAATTTTTAAAATATCACTGGGATACATCTCAAGAATCTTGTATGTAGTACATACGACAGTTCGGTAAATTTATACAGATAAGTCAAGATAATAATTCATGACTGTAATCATTATTATTATTGTTGCTATTGCCATCAATTACTTCTCATTAAAATAACAAATGTGTGAAAAAATAAGTGTGAATGAGATCAAACTAATTCTCTTACTGTTAAAAAATATCGTCAAAATACACCCAGGTAAAAGCAAACTATAAAAAAGAAAGTCAAAGCAAAATTTACACAAAATAAAGTCAGAAGAGTAGAGCTAATTATTATCCGTTTGAGGAAAAAGTAATCCAAAGAAAAAGTTCTGGATATCAATCTTGGAGGACATATCAGCTTATTCGAAAATTGCAGTAGTGTATACCTAATGTCAGCTAGTTGTGAGTTTTACACTATCGTTCTTTATGTTCAGATTGTCTTATGTTATCGGTACGTAATGTGTTCTCTCTCATAAGTCTTCTTTCACCTACATCTTGAAATGATTCAGTCGTAACCGTCATTGATGTTTTATTTTCTGGGTTAATTTCACAGTTAGTGTACATTTGACTTGCAGATTTATTAACTGATGTAATAGATCTCGGTTCACTTCTAGCTAAAGTCGTGCTTGTGATAGAGCAAGGGGCATTCGTAGAATCACATGAATTATAAACAGCTGCATGAACAGAACTATTTTCCACTTGATGTACACACACTTCACCATTTAACTTACTAACACGTTCGGGCTTTGTAACACTACTTTGAACTTTCCCAAAGGATTTTAAACTTGCAGATGTGTTAACTGTAATTGTGGTTGTATTGGATCCAGTATTAGTAGTTGTAGAAATATTAGGTGGTAATTGTATAGTATGAGTGACTCTGTTCATTGTGTTGGGGTTTGATACACTTGAAGACATGTTCCTGAATCCAGGGGATTTCGGCAGTTTCCTGCGAAGCCATTCATGTTTAAAAGCCTCTCGTGGAGTCATGCGCTCCTCTGGTGTCCATTGTAAACACTTTTTAATAAAATCAAGGAAAACTGTATCTTCACAACCTTTAAGGGCTGTGACTATTGACCGACTTCCAGGAGTACCTCTAATTTTACCCCTTTTGGTATTACTACTGCGAAGTACGACACAGCCATTTGCATCCATAGTCATGCAGTATCTTGGGTATCCATAAGTCGCTGAGAAAAAATTTCTCACTCTTCTGCATTGATCCAGTAGTTTTTGGGGCGGCATCCCAAGCAATTCTATTATACAAGCAAGTTGGTCTCCTTCATCTTCCCCTGGAAATATAGGAGCACCTAATGATGGGAATAAGAATAAAAGGTTTTCACAATCTTTTAATTAGTTTCACACACTTTTTCTTATTTATAAAATTCACTCAGGCAAGAACAACCAATGTAGCAGACTAACATGAATCCACTATATTTCGCGGTTTCTTGTCAGCTATCTGCCCACCACCTAAATCTAATAGTATTATCCTTCAAAAATCAATGTACATACGTTGTCAAAACATTGGAAAAGTCCTTATCAGTGAATATTAACGAACATAGAAATACTTATGAAACAACGATAAGAGAGGTTCATATGTTAATTAATGTGAACATTTATAGGTTGAATGTAAGAATATTTTAGAATAAAGACCAGGGAGATAGAGATAGAATTATGTAGGAATAATATGTTAATTTTGTAATTATGTCACTTCTAGAGAAATGAACTAACTGAGTACAGATCAGATAAGGAAAGACAAGTAGTAACTAGTGTCATGAAAAGAATAATTGGGTAACAAACATTTGTGAAGGAGTTCACCAAAGCAAGATTGACCACTGGATTTTTCTGAGTAGATAAATTTAGTTTAAATTTTTTTATCGCGATCGCTTCGGTTAATTGTAATCAATCTGACTTTCTTTGTTTACTAATCATCTTGAAAAATTTTGATACATCAACACCGTGGCCACTGTTAAGCTGATGGTGTGCGATCTCACTGCTGGAAACATATTCCCCTCCTAGTCTAAGCTTCTATGAGATGTGCTCAGCGATGCGGACACAAACCCTCTTTCTTTTTTTCTGATGTATATATGGCATGCACATGTAAATTGAATATAGTAAGGTGGGCATTTGTCCTCACATAACTGTCTTAATGGACAATTAGTGTGATGAGCTTGGCAGCTGGATAAGTCCTTTTTGTTATTGCTTTATTTTGAAATCAATCTTTCCAGCTACTTTACCACCACTGAAGCCAAGTCTTAGGAATGCAAGCCCCTCAACTACAGCATACTCTATTTCCTTTGTTTTAACTTTCCATACTTGTTTATTAATTTCTGAGAGTAACATTATTACGTAACCAACGTAATCTGATACGGTTAAAGAGCGTTCTAACCAAGACTTTTGTAGTTTAGTGGACAAAAGCTAATAAAGTTTAGGTATAATCCACTCCATATGTCCTTTTGAAGAGTATATATCGTAATACAAATGGTCGATTAGGAAGATATGTAAGTATATACACTGATTTTTAAGGGATAATACCATTATATTTAGGTGGTGGGCAGCTGACGAGAAACCGCGAAATATAGTGGATTATATTATTCTGCTACATTGATTGTTGTTGCTTTAGTCAAATTTAAGGAGTTTTTTTATAAGGTTTATGAAAGTAAATAAACATAAAGCAAGCAAATAACGTTTTAGTAGTGAAAACATTCAGATTTTATGTATTTCAAGCATAATTTTATGTCACCATATTGAGCTAAAGTCAGTTACATAACAGTAAACCATGTTCATTTCAGAGTACTCTATTTTCTACTTTTGTGATCATACAACTGAAAGTTAGAGTGCTTTCGGACGTACTAGAAAGGTTACACTAACTGTTCATCATATATGTATTAATGCTTTATAGCCCAGCTCCAAGCTCACTAAAGTGTTTTCAACTATTATTACTTTTGGTATCTTGCCTTTACAGTACTTGTAGTAGTCCTGAACATTCAACTTGACTTCTGGAAAATTTGTTTGTATGAGTTGAAATCACTTGCGCAATCACTAGTGTTCCGCCTTTGAATTCGTTTAAACTAATTTTATAGGAGCTCTACCCACCCAAAGAAAGCCTATGAAGAAATACTGAACATCCGTTAACATTTTTACTGACGTCCCCAGGTTAGTGTATCGAATAGACCTCTTTAAAAACATCGTATTAACATCGACAAGAGTACAAGTATTAAACCATGATCATAATAATCATGTTTTACCTGTAAGTAACTCCGCTAATATACATCCAAAACTCCACATGTCAATCGGTAGACCATACTTGCACCCGAGAATCACTTCCGGAGCTCTGTAAAATCTTGATTGTATATAAGTGTATAGACGTTGACTTTCATAACAGCTTGAACCGAAATCAATTACTTTAATCCCACTCCTACCCTGTTGTTTAAGCAAGATGTTTTCTGGTTTTAGATCACAATGAATGATTTTATTTCTATGCAACATATCCAGACACACTAAAATTGAATGAGCGAATTTTCTGACTAACTGAAGAGGAAACCCTTGAAATTTACTTCGTTTGATAAGTTCATATAGATTTATGCTTAGCAGTTCAAATGTTATACAAACATGACCACGAAAAGTAAAGTGTTCGGAAATATGCACGACATTACGTGTATTGTCTACATCCTGTTTCTTCAGTTGTTCGAGAATTCGGATTTCTTCAGTTGCTTGATTTGCAAAACGCTTTTCATTTCTCACCATTTTTAGCGCGACATAAACACCATCTTTATGATCGTAAGCTTTGACAACCTGTCCAAAACTACCTTTCCCGAGTATTTTTAAAATCTCATAACGATAGGCAACATGATCGTGTGCGGTATGTATGTAGGATCCCTGATCATCGTCATAACCACAATTATTTCCTGTCCCTAAAATTCCGTTTCTTTTCTTTGCATTATGTCCTACAAAGTATACATGAGGATAGTTCAATATTTCATGGTGTTCGTACGCGCTAAGTTTATGAAAATACAACTTTATTGCCATTTCCGGAGTGAGACATGTTTTTATCGTTTTATTTGATGATGGCTTTACACACGAAGTACTAATTGACTCATGTAATGAAATCGGAAGATAAGGTGGTTCGTTTACATAGATTTTGGGTATTGTATTTACCGGAAATTGATTAAGATCCACACCTCCACATGCTGCAGCCCGATTTTGAGTTTTTGGTGATTTGATCTGAGTTTCAAGTTTTGAGAAATTATATGTCGATAGACTAGTATTTTCCTTGGTCCTTGATCTGCTTGATGGGTTCCCAGGCTTACTAATTTGTAGTTTGTTCTTTCCTAATGAAAAGTTACTCAAGTGGAGTGAAATGTTATCTGTTATAATCGCTGATTTTTCGCTTCGAAATTTGTTCTGTTCATCTTCATGCAGTTGAGCAATATTTAGTAGTGACTTCACATTACGGTTATTGCTTTCTATTCCAAATGAAGAACTGTTAAATGCGAGAAGACTGTATAAACTTTCGTCTTTTATTGTCCCTCCATTCATTTCCATTAAACGCAGAAGTGGGGATGACCAAAAGCTGTATCAATACTATACATAGGAATACGTTGTGAACACTAATGCGGTCGTTTAGTTGATATTCCAATGGTCAATAAACGGTTCGGAGAATTTGACTGAATATAATTTTTGATTGAGCAAAAATAATTGGCATCTATAACATACAAAAGAATATTAGTGAGAATATCATCATTTCTATTATTTCAAACAGAAGCTAGATGAAAATTTATTTCTATTAGATGGAAAAAACGTAATGTAAATAGTAGAACTTGGACACCATATCCAACCACCAACGCCGGTCAGCATGTGAGTTGCAACAAATCGTTTACAATTTTTTTCAACTTTAAAAACTCATTGTTGGTTAATATACAAGCGGATAACTGTTGTAGTTAGATGAGTTATGAATGGCTGTCACTCAAAATTTATTGTAAGGAAGTACCCATATCATTTATCAATGTGAAGATAAATTTTTATGACCGATTTTATTTCTTTTTTTAGCTCTAATTTTCAAAACTAGCCAACTTTGATACTATAGTAAAGTAGAATCTAGGTTTTTAGATAAGACGGAAAAGAATGGGCTGCATTAAAACTTTTTCAACAAACAATAATGTTCTATTTTCTTTCATATTTAATGAGAGATCTATAATGAAAAGTCGAATATATGTCTTTGTGAGTATTTTAGAAAGACTACTTTCAAAGTGGATGGCAGAAAGAATTGTGTGTTAGGAGATAATTATGTAAGTTTGGAAAGTCAGAAATTCCGTCCTTTCACTGAGAAACGTGAAATTGAATTTCAAGCTTTAGATAGATACAGACGACATTATCTGATCAGTAAATAAGCTAAAAGTGGGTCTGGTTTGAAAATAAATATTCGGTTTGATTATTATTTGTTAGAGCCTTGAGCACCAAGTTTATAAACCCATAATACCCTAACTTAAGCTATCTCAAGTATCTTATAGTTAATGTCACCGGCTGATCTCAGTCAAACGGCTTTTGAAAAGTAAGAAGCACTGGACAGGTATAAATTTAAAACCCCTTTGGATAGTAATAACTAACTTAAGTAGTTACTTGTGTGTTGTTATTGTGGAGATTCACAAGTTAAGTAACAAATTTACCGAATTTTCTATCATATTGGAATATTGATTATGCGTCTGATTGATACATATTGTGTATAATGGCGAAAGACCGCCGATTTAATTAGCGGCAAACATGTTTTGGTAATAGTTGATGTAAGAAAGAGTAAATCTTCTAAAACGAACGTGTAACCATGTATGCAATCAAAAGAACTGATCAGGATAACGGTGCAACTTCACCACATTTTCACTAACCCCGAGATTCCCAAAGTTAGTATTCGAAACATAAACAGTTGCAATTTTATTAATAGAACGTCAAATCTCTAACTGAACAAATTAGTAATGAACAATAATCTAAACACAGTAGCGGTGTATAAATATATATCTTAATGAACATAACGACCTATCTCATTACTCGTAATTTGAAACAAAGTTTATTTTGTATGACTGGTTTTCTGGAATTGATATCACTTAGATTAGAAATGATAAGGTTGAGGAAATAATGGTTAATAAAGAAATTTATAGTACTTCTAAGTGCTAAACGCTAAAACACTTTATTTAAAAGACAAAAAAATTCTGAGTGTAGCTGAATTTCTGTAAATATGGCTAACAAACGGAAATATCCATAAGGTGCTAACTAAACCTTTTTGAAGAATGAGGTAAAAATGTGGTAGTGTTACCAAAAAAACTAACAATGTTTCTTGGTTACATTTGTTTAATGTAACAATGAATAAATAAAACTCAGATTGTCTAGTTTGATTCATTCGTCGCTACATTAAACAAATGTAATCATGAAAAAATGTTAGTTTGCACGACTATAGTAACCAATGGTTGGAGACTCGTGGTGACATGGCTCAAAATCGATCACAATGGCGCAGGTGTATACACTCTCTGTATTCCATTAAACTATGAGATTAAAATAGCTTGATATCTTTCTACGTACTAATTCCTTCTTCCTGTACTATATCCTTATATTCAATTTTTTATATATATTACCACCATTCAATTAACTATTTCTATGAATCCGGTGTTCATCTTGCTGTGTTTATGCGGTATAGCATCTTGGACCGATGCATATATGCTCCTGGTTCTACGTTGTAGCTGACTGACTGATTGAGATTGTCTAGAAAATAGGAGACAAACGAAAAGTAATCTTAAATACCAACATTTACGTCGCTTAGTAAAGCAGCTAACTTAATGTAATCATAGGTAATATTTAAATATGAACACATTTTCCAACCATTTTTAGTTACTTACAATCATCAGAAGTTCGAGAACTCATCTTAATAATGAATAGAGATAAATTTTAAAAGCGTAACACGGTGAGGAATATAAATTAAGGAACTCTTGTGTCATGAAGATTAAAATTTAAGGACCAGATAGAATATGAAGATATTGCCAAATGCACATTTCAAGGTGAACCAACATTATCCATGTTCGAATTCAAGTGTTATGCAGGAGTCTTACATAGAAATTGTTGTAGTTTGGCGAAATTCATTTGGAAATAAGATCGTAAAATGCATCATCACAGCTGAAAAACATAAAAAGACGTGTTCATAAAAGAGGCGTGGAGTAGGTACTAATTTTTTTAGATATTTATTCATGATGATAATCAAAATTGGACGTGTCAAAATACTGCTCTCACTCCAATATACAGAGACTTTTGCGGAACAAAGCCCATGGGTAAGAAAGTAATAAAGCTATGAAATTTTTGAAAAAGCACACTAAATATCTACGGCGAGCCGTTTTTATTTGTTTCAGCGTTCAAGGAAACTTCACTTATTCAAGGTCAATATGCAACTACTAATAAATAATCAACTTTACTTTCAAAAACAAATGTAAATTTGGAGTCAGGTGAGAAAATAAAATCATTCACGCCTTCTATAGCCATGTTAATAGATTTTTCAAGCCCTAGAGGAAGTAAGCTTTTTGTAATTAAATGTACCAAAAGAACCGACTTATCACAAAACAAAACATTTTCCAAAATTAATAGAATAAACAGTACAAACAAGCTGCAATATGTGTGTAATGTTGATCTGTATAACAAATGGCATTCCCATATTGAAGGCTAAATGATTTTGATCAGGTGAAATTGATGCGTTAATTTTTCACTAATACCATCCTACACTTTTCATCCTCTTTTTCTTCGTAACATTTTTTGTTTTTAGTACTGTCACTGAAGAATGACTATTATATCCAGTTTTAATTTTTGTTTCGAGTGGAAGCATTTCATTCAATTGTCTAGTCTATGAATCCCTTAATGTTTGGTTTTCATCTTTGTTTTCAAACATCTGTTTTGTAGTTCATATCTGTCAGCAAATAATGGAAAATCACAACATAATAAGATAACTTAATTTTACTCCAAGGAACCTCAAGACCACTAATTTATTCAAGAACTATTGTGTCCTTAAACTAACTAATAATAATGTTCCTTTTAAAAATATTGCCCTATTTATATGAATCTACATAATCCACATAAGCAAATACTGGATGTATATTTCTGATTACTAACTGACCTTGAAAGCCATACTAAAACGAATAACGGAATTTTAGGGAGGAACGAATTATTTTCATCGATTCAGTCATTGCTGGATAAAAATAATCACTTTGAGTTTTTCGAAAGTTTTGTTTCACTCGTTTATGATTGGTTACATTAAACTGAAGTAAATAAGTAGTCTTCGTATTAAGAGAAGCTTATCCTACTTAAGGTCATGTAAAGTGTCATGTTGAGTTTCGAGAGTCATAAAATGAGGGGATAAAGTATTTAAAAATAAGTCAAACAAACTGTATCGGAAGTATAGCGAGATAAAATTTATGATGTTAAACGTAGACAAGATTGCATATTTACAGTGATGATTAAACAATATTTGCTACCATAATAGTATGCAGTAAAGTCATACGTTGCTGCTTCAGAAACAGCGAAACGTCCCTGTGAAACGTCAAAAATTACCATAAATACAACAGGCTTAAACATATCTCGTTTGTCAAAATAAATAAAGTTGGATTAACATTGAAAGACTAGCTCCAAAATAAAAGAGTGGTTTCAATATTTTTGAATGTGTACAAATACTAAACAACCGGTTTATTGAACTTTTATTGCTAACGATGGATTCCCTAACCCTAGCTTTGCCCATCGTTGTATCCTACATATTGCTGATTGATTATTCATTCTCCGTTTTATTCTTTTTCACTTATGGCTTCATTATATGTAAACTTTAATTTCCTACGTAGGTTGTATTGTGGTCTGATAATGTATGTAAACAATCTCATGAATATTTGAATTTTGGTGAACTTTTACATGGTGTATAGCTTTGTCTGTTTACCGTGTTTTATTATAGGGCTAGATGTTGACAAAAAGCTTCATTAACGACCGGTAGATGTTTACTTTGCTTTAACCACAGTTTAAGATTAATAATTCTCGAACAAAGCTTAGGGTGTCAGTTTATTTGGGGAAACAATAGGATTTTTATTAGTGAGTCTTAACAGTTGATATCGATAGACTCTAATCATAACAGTTGATATATTTTCCCACTTACTTATGTTTAAGGACCATGTTTTGTTTCCTTTAAGTACTTGAATGGTTTTACTTATGTTTAATACATTATGTTTCTTCCAGATTATAAATTTGAATCTCACGTGGCTTACTCGATGGCTTTATATCCAAAAGCTTCGAATGTATCACTGCTTAATATACCACGTAGTGCAATCCTCTGTAAGCTAATGAAAACGACAAAACTTATGAAGTATGGTAGAAATGAAATTTTTATACATGATAAATCTAAAATAACTAATAAAAAAATTGTGTGAAGCTTTGCTATGAAAGACTTTTGATGGTCTTTTGTAGTTGTTCTTAGAAACAGCTACATGTGATTTGTACACCAATAGCCTATTCTTCAGACCAGGCACTTCGAAATTCCTTCT